AAGAGGGACAACAGATTTCTGTTCCCCTCCACAGGGCTGTAAGCCAGGCCTCTCCATGGGCCTCAGACCTTGCCAGGGGACCCTCGGGGCACCCTGTCTACCTGTTACTCCTTCCCACCTGAGCCTCTCGGAGCCTCTCTCCCAAACACAGAATGGGATATAACAAGAGCCTTCATGGATTGTCATGAGGCTTAAACGAGAGGCGTGTGGAAAGTGCCAGCTCAAGGCCCAGCACATGCAGACATTATGACAGCGTGAGTTCTCTTCCTGTTAAAGAGTCCAAGCCCCCAAATTCCAGGAGAGTCTAATCATTAGACTCTAATGAGTCTGGGCAGGGCCTTCATAGCCAACGCTTCCACCTGTTCTGGGCTTCCCCAGAGAGTTCCTACCGTCAGGCACACACAGGCACATACAAGGGCACATATGTGTGCACACGCACACACACAGTCTATACATGTCGTGTGCCTCACGCATGTATACTCATACAACCTGTGCCAATGCCAAGTTCCAACGCCCATCCCTGTCCTGGCCTCTGGCAGAGCCCAAACCCTTCAGGGAACTCACCCGATAAACAGGCGAATGTGCATGCACAGACTGCCCCATGCTAGGGGCTTGCCCCACCTCTGCAGAAGCTACCTGGATCACTCCCCACCTACAGAGGATCAAGATGCTAGACCTCTGGAGGTGGGGTAGGAGCGGGCCGAGGAGGCCCAAGGGGCTGCTGATATTATGGAGCCATTTGTAGGGGTGCAGCAGTAGCCCCCTTTCTGGAGTCAAGGACCCTTCTCTCCTTGCCCCCTCCCCTCCCCGGGGCCTGTTCCAGCAGGATTCCCCAGGCAAGTGGGCAGAGAGATGGTGGAGCCAAAGCCCTCCAAACCTGCACTCCCCATGCAGAGTGAGGTGGTTGCCAAGGGCACAGAGCAGGAGACAAGAGACCCAGGGTCAGACTGGCTCACCCTGAAGGTGCATCAGAGCACACCGAGGGCCCACAGCCCACTTTGGGCCTCAGTTTCCCCTTGTGCCCACTGCCTGTTTGGACTACACCTCTAGGTACCTTCCAGATCAATTACAGCTGTGCTAATGTGGATGTATTTTCCAGGGGAGACAAGTTCCCCAGGAGACCTTTAAAAATGTTTATGTCACTTTGACAATAATCTAAAAATATGAATGTCAGCATTTTTGTGACATACGAACCTGCCAAATGTTATGTTTTGTGGTTGTGTTTCTGACGAGTTGGGGCCAAGCAGTGTGACTTGGTGGCCACAATATGCAAGAGGGCCCTCGGTGACAGTGTGACCTACATGTCCTCTGTAAGGGGTCTGAACGCAGACAAGCGTGAGAGAACCATCCATTGCCTCACGTGCAGGCAGCCGCCTACTGCCCCTCCCTGCCAGGACCCTGCTCTAAACCATGCTTACGTTTTTTAAATTCAGATATAACGCACACACCATACAACCCAGCCTTTTAAAGTGTGCCGTTCAGTGCTTTTTGGTGTATTTACAAGGTTGTGCAATCTAATTCCAGAACATTTTCATCATCCCCAGAGAAATCTGAGACCCAGTAGCAGTCACTCCCTCTCCCCCACCTCTCAGCCCCTGACAATCACTGACCTATTTTCTATCTCTGTGGATTTGCCTCTTTTGGAAATACTCATTTTTTGACTGCCAACTTAGTTTCAACAAAAACAGAGTAAAGCAAACAAACCAACAAAAACAAATCTCTCATGACATTCATGTTTTTCATTTGGATTTTATTGATGTATTTGGAGGCCCTAACTTTCCATCTGCCTTGGCTATATAATTGTGGAACTGTTATAACAATAAAGGGTGGGCACCTAGTTTAGTGACTATGTCATTATAATGAGAATAATTTAGATGGTCGATTGCAAAAATGGCTACAAATTCCCCCTATTCCTGTCTACATGCCCCTTTGCACTATGACTCTACCATGTTTCCATCAAGAAACAGAGATGGTCTGTTTCTACACCGTAAGCCTGGGCTTGGCCACAGGATTTGCTGGGCCAATGGGACCTTGGAAAGCATGACGTGCCCTGGCTGAGTAGCTCAGATGGTTAGAGTGTGGGCCCGATACCCTGATACACCAAGGTTGGGGATCTGATCCGTGGTCAGGGCACATACAAGAAGCAACCAATGAGCGCATATGAATGCATAAATAAGTGGAATAACAAATCAATGTTTCTCTCTCTCTTTCCTTCCTGTCTCTAAAATAAACAAGCAAACAAACAAACCAGAAAGCATGACACAAAAGCTTGCGCTCTGGGCTTGCCGCTCTCACAACGCCTGAGGCCCATGTGACAGACACCACGTCTATAACGTTGGGCTAGCCTGCTGGGGGCATGGCCCTGTCAGCCCCAGGACCCCAGCCGACAGCCAGTACCAACCAGGGCCCTACACACCCACCAGCTGAGTGCATCTGCATGAGCGAGTCCAGGCAGTGAGGTAAGCAGCACC